AGTGTTAACACAAAGGATGCAGGACCCTGGTTAAGGCAGAGGCGCACAGCAGTCGAGGGGGGGAAGGGCTTGGCAGACCAGCAATTAACACACTCGAATCTCGGGTTATGCAAGCAGCACGCAGCACTTTGATAGTTAGATAAACAAATACACAAATACAAACACAGACAGACAAAAGGAAGTCAGCAAGGACGTGCGGCCGGAAGCAGCAGTTGATAAGGACACACACACAAACACAGAGAGGATTTAATAGTCGAAAGAGTGTGGGCGGCGGGAGTGGCGCGGGCCAAGACAGAATGCAATTCAATGCCAATACAAATGCAAGGTAACATGCAAATTGACAGAGAGGACATTCGCCAGGACATCATGCCAAACGCAAATACAAACAAAAGCAAACAGAGAGCGAGAGCGAGAGAGAGAGAGAGAGGGCGATAGATGATTGGGCTAGAGAGTGAGATAGATGCTGTGGAAGAGTCAACACATGAATTGCATTAGTTGCAACGGCAACCGTCAGCGGGGCGACAATTTGACATTTAACTCGTACTTTGTTTTTAGGCAAAACGCCGGCCAGCAGTTGCGGGGGTTAACTCTGGAGGGGAAGAGCGTTGCGCTATGCAAATAGCAGAGAGCCTCTGGCATTGTCTTTGACAATGAGTATGCGACGATGACTGAAACGATAAACTGTCAAATTGCTGCAATTTAACGCTTGATAAGCAACTTGGGGGCAACTCTGCTGGACTTGCCAGAGCAGTTGACAACTCTGAATGCCTGTGACCTGGCTATAGGGTATATAGCTATTGCCCATTGTTCGATCAGGCCTATTGTTGATGCCTCAATGCAAAAGTCAAAAGGGGTACGACAGGAATATATGTTTTAACAGAGGTGCATCGCATGTTCAATGGATTCGGGTTAGATTGAGTTGGGTTGGGTTGGCTAGGGCTGGTTTGGCGAGGGGTGTGTGTTTTGCCTGGGCATTAAAAGATTTCCAACATTTTCATTTTGCAGCCGTCTGACATTCGTAATTATGAGCTGCGAGTCTCTCGGCTGAGCTATTTAAGCGATTTGCTTTATTAAAATCCGTAAGCGGAAAAACAAACAAACATTTTGCGAAAAATAAGCAACAGCCACCACCAGCAGCAAACGCACCCAGCAACATCAGCAGCAGCAACCACTAAAAAATCTGCACAGGTCGCAACATATTGTTGACTCCATCTGAAGGTTCTTGTCTGCCTGTCTGTCTGTCGGTCTGTCCAACAGCCACTCCGTCCATTTGTAGCAGCGCAAATCTGCTACTCTGTCACATTCGCAGCTTGCCGAAAATTTCATTCATTCATTCATTCCATTACGTTTCGTTTCGTTTCGTTTATCCCTTTTATGGCTTGTTTGGGGATTTTCATTATTACAATGACGTCGTCATCATTCTCAGTACCAGATTCAGATTCAGATCCAGACCCAGAGCTAGTCCCAGGCACAGTCTGGCTTTGTTGTGCCTCTAGCTACTTTCGCCTTGTCCATGTTTATTTATAACTAGCAATTGTAATTAGGATTACTTTTTACTTATTTGCACAGTTGCTGGAGAGGCTCGCGAGGCATATAAAAAACATATTTCTGAATTTTTACATCGTGGACTTTGTGCTGCAGCATTAAAGTATTTGTCCAGACGGCTTAGTAGGGAGCCGTTGTATCTAGTTAATAGGATATCCATGATGATACCCAGATATGGCACAAGCAGCTGATGCTCTGAGCACTAGCCGCTGAATGGTTTGGCAGTTGAGCTGAGATTCTTTTCGAATGGAATGGGATAATATTTTGCGGAATACATGCGTATTAGCGGGCATTATCTTAGCTGAACTATGTAATGCCTTTACTCTTCATATTTGAAACAAATCTAAGGAATTTGAAAGAATAGCGTATACAAAGAGTATTCAATTCTTCGCATAAAAAAAAGGTTGAAAAAACGGAAAGTAAATAAGAATCATTTTTCTTTTAATTAATGTTGCTTTTTGTTCTGGGAAAAACATGAGAAAACTTCCTGTTTGCTTTTAATCTTAATTGATTCTGAAGCATATAATAATACTCTTAACTACTTTGGTTTTCTAGGAAGACTTATTTAAGCTGCTTATGTCTAATATTAAATGAGCACGAAATTTAAGAATCGAGACCCTAATAGGACAAAATGTACTTTTTTATCGATTTAACTTTGAATGTGTGCTGAATTGTTAAATGGTTTGAAACTGACAGATCCAACCAAGTGCCAATCCAGCATTGAGTAGTTTTTTTTGGATTTGTGATTAATCAATTTACAGATGATTTGCGCCAGAAATCGACCAAAATTGATTTGTCACATAGCCTTTCGCATTTTGCAGCCCGCGCACTTGACACGCATTTGTCACAGACAGTTGGCTCTTTTATTTTTGGGCGTGACAGTATAACCCTTGAGTTTGGCCAACATTCTCGCCATATTGCCCATAATTATGATTATTTCACGCGTTTTATGCCCGACCCACAATTTCAAATAGATGGAAGTGCTTCTGTCGTCGCATTCAGTTGTCAACTGTACAAAATTCACACCACAATCCCATCACGATTGAAACAGGCAGTTCAACCCTTTTCGCCAATGTTTGTCGATGGCCCACGCACATAATGCGATAAATAAAGTCATTCAGGACAACAGCAAAAAAAAAAAAGGACAAGCGACGAGCGTCACAAATTGAAGTGTTGTAAAGTGAACAACGGAAAACCGAAAAGTGCAATGAAAAATAAATAGAATAAAATCGTTTAACACTCAACTCAAAAGCCAAATGACAATTTGACGAATTGAGAGAACTTATCACGCATTTTCCCCACCCAAAAACCCCAAAAAAAACAAAATAGAATAAAATAAAGAAAATCACAAACATTTCGCCCATTTTGTGTGCTGTTTGTTGGTTCGGTTCTCGTAAATGGCTTTCAACTAATTTTCAACGCACGCCTGACAGACAGGTAATGGCTCGCCGCGCCGCCCCAATCAGCGGATTGATGGACAGGCATTCAGCCAGGCCCCAGCTCGTCATTTATTCAGTCGAACAATCGAAAGTGTCAATTAAAAGACAGCAACAAATAGCAAATGCCAAGTGCCTGGCTGCCTGGCTCTCTGGCTGGCTGCCTGGCTGACTGGCACCGCAGCAGTCAACGTTATTATTTTATTATATTTGATTTAAACGTTTCGAAAACGACATGTGCGCACTTTCCCTCCGGCCCAGTAGCACACCCATCCACACCCCCTCAACGCCCTGCCAATGCCAACCCCCCAGCAGCGATTTGTGGCCTGCGTGCTGTTGGGCATTGCAATCGCGCTATTGTCGCCGCTGTCGATTTTCCATTTCAATTTCAATTGGAATATGCGAAATATGCGTGAATTAAAACAGATGTCAGTACCCCACGGCGGTCATTGATCCCAGTTCTGTAAAGTGCTCTGATTAATGCCTCCGGGCACATATGTATTGTCTTCGGGGTAAAAGTAAACAGTGACTTATGCCTAACTTCCAATTCCTTGTCGCTGCTACAGGTCCCTAGAGATGCAGCCTTATGTGCCTGCTTTATGTTGTGGTTGATCAAGCCCGCGGGCAACTTAAAAGGCGTCAATCGTCTGGCTGCCAGCGGCTTGTTTATCTTGCCAAGTTTCTGTTTATGCAACGCATTTAAATTAAGACTGCAATTCAATTAGCAGTCGATTCACAGCTACTTCCTATACAATCAATGTGAACTCGAGAATATTTGACATTATATTGAAATGAATTATAATGAAATTAAAGTATGAATTTAAAAAACAACTAATTAGCTTTGCAATATTCAGTAAATATCTCAACTGGCCCAAAATGCTTGGCAAATTTACCAGAGCAGAAACCCTATAATAGACACTCAAAAAATTCGAATAAAATTTAACTTTCTAATAGAGTTATTTTTAATGCTTCTATTGCTGTAAAATTATATGCTCTGCTCAATCAAATAAAAACAACAATGGAGTTTTACAATTTTGGATTTTTATTTTTAATTTTATTAAATTTACCACGCTTTTGTTTTATGGCTTTCAATATTTATTACCCATTTTGTTAATTGTCATTTGTTGTTTTGAGTATAATTGCTTTGTGTGCAATTTCTTGTTTTCAAATAATTTAAATATTATTTTTGGTATCGATAATTATAAAATTTGATGCCATTGTTGAAATGAAATCTATTCGGTTTTACTTTCTTTCATACTTGCCAATGAATTTTCAAACGAATTCATATTTAATGCTGCAATTGTATTGATAAATGAGAGAAATAAATAAAAGCTTTTCGTTTTTGTTTTTTGTTTAAATAATTTAATACTATATTTTTGCCTTGAAATTTACACATACTCGTAATAAATGCGTTTAAATTAATTTGGAAATTAAACTAGTCTAGAAATGAAATGCGAAGCAACAGCAAATTAGTAATTCGTCTGTGTAACTTTGCCATAATTTACAAAAAAACATTACAAGTATTATATCATTTTTTTTTACAGTGTACACTTACGCCTGACTTATTAATTTTTACAAAATGTAATTTAAACTTAATTACTAATTATTTAATTTTGCGTTTATTATTATAATTTATACAAGTCTTGTAGGTAGGTTCGTGATTTTCTATTCATATCGTTTCGAGAGTGTCTCCAGTGTTGCATAGCTGCATTTCCATGCGAAAAGTGTAGCAGTAAGTGTCAGTGTGTGTGTGTGTGTGTGTTGCTGTTCTTGTTGTGGCCAGTATTGGCAAACGTTTTGTGCAATTGGAAACTTGGAAAGTTAAGAATTGTGCAGAAAGTTTGGAAATGTGTAAATATATATATGTACTGATTAGTAGTATATCTATATCGATCGGCCCTTGACAGCTCATTAATTGTAATTAACATTTTAAATATGTTTTTAAAAGTGTCTAGCTTAATGTTTAGCTCGTTTCTCCTAATCTTGCTGTTTTTGTTATTTGAAAACTTCTCGAAGGTGTTGCACAATCATTTTAAATACTTTTTTGTGTATGTCTCTGTGTGGTTGTTTATTTTTTTTTCTTTATTTTTTTGCTACTATTTAAACTACTTTTTTACTGCACGTTGTGTGTTAAGTGTTTGTGTCTGTGTGCGTGTGGATGTTATTATTTTTTTTTTTTAATATTATTTTAACGCGCTTACTTAGTTGATAATTTATAAAATGCGGTGTTTACACTTGTGTTTTTTCCTTTTTGTTTTTATTACTTGCTGAATTATTTTTTAACTACTACGAAGCTACTACGACTTTAACTTTTAGTACTTGTGTATTGTGATAATTTGTATGCGCATTAAACTAAAAAGGAACATATACATGATTATTTATTAATTATACAATACATTAATTATACTCGTATATAGTTTATTTATTTATATATATGTATGTATATATATATGTTTTTTCATAGTATTTTTTATAGTCAGAGTCATTTGTTGTCGGGTAAAACGTTTGCATAAATTATAATTAGCATTAAGAACTGAATATTCTCGTTTGTTATAAGTTAAGTAGTTGAATATATATTTAATCACAAATCATTGATGAAAACTTCATTTTAATTGGTTTTAGGCGACGACGCTCTGCACGCTCTCTTGGTCCGTTAAATTCCGTTACAATTTTATCATCATCAACGTCTCTACATAATTTTTTTGACGCGGCATTTCCATCTGCTCGGTAAGCAAACAATCTATGTATCTCACGGATACCTCTCTCTAAATTTATACACAGAAATTTACAGTGGGGCTTAAACATTGTGGGGCTGGGTAATATAGTTTAGGGCTAGGGTTGTACAGGCATTTACAGTTAGTTTTGCAATTATCGTTTTTTTTTTGTTGTTCTTGTTTACTTTCGGAAAGGTACTAAAAATCAGTTGAACTCTATTATTATATGCTAGTTACTTCCATCTTTTTATATCGTTATATTTACTTCGTTTCATTTCGTTTCGTTTTATAAACAATAAGTGTTGCTAAATGCTAGACCTTAAATTCGTTTTTTGTTTTTATATTTCATTAATGTTCTGCTCGATTGCATTTGATCTATGAGAAACTAGTGCCCATTTTTATTATTTTTACTTTGTTTTGTTATCCTTTTCATTAAAAATTCAGCTCGCTTTACTATCATATGGATTTTTAACTACCTTTTCGCATGGTGATATATACTAGGTATACATATATATATTTACAGATTGTATTCTATAAGTTGTATCATTATCATTTCGTTGGCATATATTCGACGCTACATTGTTGCTTAGATTTTCGACTTTTGCTAATTTATCTTTTCCGTTTGCTCAGTGGGTTTAATTGTTCGACGCGTTGTGCTCTCCATATAAGGGAGGGGCGGGTTCTAACACAATTTACGGTACGTTTACGAGTACTTAACACTTGTATTTCGTTTTGTATTTTCTAGTTGCATGTCCGTGTAGAGTTCCAGAGCTATTAATAGGGTGAAAATAACATGGGAAGAGATTGAATTTAATATTTATATTTTAGAAAAATATTTGCTGTGTAAAACTAAATTATTATAAAAATTATTATAAAAAAAAAACACTTAAATCGATTAACTTGTAAAGATTTCATTAAGTAAAGTTTTTATAATGAATCTTATAATAATTGTCTTTAGAATTGAGGTAGTAGAAATTGTATTAAAATGTCTAAAAAATGAACAATTTAACCACCCAAAAAAATAACTATCCCAAAAATTGAGTGATTATCAACTCCATTTTTTGGTTAATTATAAAATTAAATTCAGTTAAATGCATTATTTACTTGAACTAAATAATGTATTCTTTTCCCAAGTTAAGTTCAACATAAGATGATTGTAGAACTCACCTCAAATCCATTTAATATGGGGTTTTCATCAATGATACCACAGCCTGTTGTTTTGTGTTCTCATAACACCATTCGCCAACGGATTTGCGGTTGCCGTTGCGTTTCCAGTTCCATTTCCATTTCCAATAGTAGTACCAGTTAATTTAGTTGCATTTGTTGTCGTTTGGTTAGTCGAAGCTTCACTGTTGTTGACAGCAGCAGCAGCAGTAGTTTGTCCAGCGGCAAACTTAAGAGCCGCCGCACTTCTGCTCAGATGAACGCCCACATCGTCGGCGGGTGAGAGACCTGTTAGCACCGGTCGCTTGTAGTCCGGCGCGCAGCTATTCACATCTGTATTGACCACGTCTCGTGTCAGGCGCAGCGCCTTGAGGTGCTGCCTCTGCTGTTGCTGTTGATGATTGTCGCGCATCGATGTGGGATTCTTGCCGTTGCCCGTGGCGTACCTGTTGTTGTGCAGCGTGAGGCTGTATTTGGGCTTGGCGGTCAGGGTGTTGCCGCTGCCATTGGCGCTGCTGAGGCTCAGATGCTGCGGCTTTTTAGGCATTGTAGTGGAGGCGTTGCTGTGCTTGCTGGCGGCCAGATCGCTGCCAGCGCCCGTCGCCTCCGCTGCTGCTGCCAACTTGAGTGAGGCTTCGAACTAGAGATTATCTGGATAGCTGCGGAAATTGTAAGTTCTGGCGCGCTGAAATTCAGCGGCTGCGGCAGCGGCAGCAGCGCTATTGCCACTGCTATACGGATTGATCATGGGTGCCGTGGACTGGGAGTTCATGGTGCCCATGCCGTCATCGTAAATGCCATTCAGCTGGTCCTGGTTGCTGTGGCTGCTCTTGCCGCCGCCGCTGCTTACCGTGTTGGTGTTGCTGCTGCCGCCGCCGCCGCTCGCCGAGCCTCCCTTGATGGGCTTAAATATGGCCGTGGTCGCGTAGTATTTCTCCATGGGCGGCGGCGGCACAGTGGGCGGCCTGGGGAATATGCTGCTCAGCGGTGGCGGCGGCGTTCGTCGCACATTCACATAACCGCCGCCGGCGTTGGCCATTTTCGAAGCCGGCATGTAGTCCTGCATATGGGGAACCGCATAGCCACCTTCGGGCACATCTGTGTGTGGCCGCGGGGGACAGAACGCAAAAGACGCAAAAAGGATTTCGCTTAGTCAGGCAAATGGCAAAGGTTGAAAGGTGACTGTGTATGCGTGTGTGTTTCTTTGTGTGTGTGTGTGTGTTTTTGTGCGTGTGTGCATGTGTGTATGTGTGTGTGTTGGCAATCGCCGCAAAAATTTATTTGCATTAGTTGCTGGCGGCGCCATATTTTATGGCTCGCAGCGGAAATGGGCGAGCCAAGGGAATTGGGGTTTGAGGCATCGGGCTTACGGGCTCGGGCTCGGGCTTGGGCTCTGGGTATTGGGTAATGGGAGCTTTTGGCATACACACCTGTATAGTCTGGCGTCATATTACATTGTAAATCATTAACCGCTGCGTAGCCGTTCACGCCGCTCGTGTACATGTTCACATTGAAGGGCTCGTGGTAAAGGCTGTTCTTGCCAATGGAGTCGCTGTCGTCGACGCTGGCCTAAAATACGCGTGTGTTAGTTGGTTGGGCAGGAAAATGCAGAGTGTTTAATATAGTGACAAGTCGGGTATGTGAAAATATATGAGAGTTTGTGCTTTGTGTGCGGGTAAATGGCATTTAGATGTTTAATGTGAGCATTTCATCAATTTCTTAGAAATATTTTGCCTCCTTGAAGGAGCCTTGCTTATATTAAAGCTGTATGAAAAAAACTAAATTTGGTTAAAGTCCTTCTGCTTTGTACTTAAGATGTTTTTATGGTCTCCCACAAATTCTATTTTCTATTTACATTTATATTATATTTTGTTGTATCCAACTTTAACTTTCAGTAATTAAAGTTAATTTTTTTTTAGTTAGTCTGCGAGAAACCTATTTTAAGGGACATAGTAGATAGTGCTATTTATATATAATTAATAATAATGACATTTTTAATATACCTTTTAATACTTTAAGCACTTTTTTTTTTTCATCTTGTTCTAAGTTAACACGATAGCTGTTTCAATATAGATATCTCATTTATCCACCTTTAAGTGCTCATATATTTTGCTTTGTAATTTCGAATCGCATTTGCTTTACTTTAAAGCAATTGCCTTGAAGCAGTTGCATTTAATGTCCTGTGCTACCAATGCACACTGCCCAACTTTAAAGTGTTACATACTCGCCACTTAAGCTTAGCACCCACAAGTCAAGGGTGGTTTGGCGGGTGGGTGGGGCATTGCTGGCCGGCAATTTGCCGGACACCGTTTGCTGGAGCAGGCCCTATATAGGAAGCCGTTGAAAAGTTCTATTAAATAAAATAAATGCCGCTCGGCGTCTGGTCAAGTGTGGCATGGCTGTGAGAGCACATGCTGAGGACGTGGCAGCTGCACGCTACATTGAACAATTATGTGAAATTCGAGGCAGGAATTTGTCCTGCTGTACAGCCAGCACAGCTCCCTCTCTTATGTACAGATATATATAGGTGTATAGGTGTGGGTCGGTGTGGTATGCTCACCTTAATGCTATTGCCATTGGGACGATGCTTGTCGACATTGCCGCCCAGAGTGTTTGGATTGAAGCTGTATTGGAATGCATCGAGTACGTTGCTGCCACGGGCGCGCTTCGTGCGTGACACGATGAACAGAATGATGGCAACCAGCAGGATAATTATCGTGGTTAGAACAACAATGACAACACCAATGAAGTTTGCCTCGTTCGGCTCCTGATCAATGGGGCGTGGCGCAATTACTGCAAAGAGCGACAATAAACAAAAACGACATAAAAATAAAGCCCATTTCAATTAACATGCAAAGTGCAACAATTTTCGAACTGGCCAATCGAATGAAATTAAAAGTAAATATTGTTCAACTAAATAATTAGCAGAGAGGCCGAGCGAAACAAAAAAAAAAGAATGCTAATTGAATTTAACAGCGAGCTGTTACTTACACTGCGGCCCGTTGTTGTAGCTGTTGTTGTTGCCGTTGGCATCGGTGGCGCCACCGTTGCTGGCGCCTCCAGAGACGCCGCCATTCAGTTTGTTTTTGTTATGATTGTGCTGATAGTCGTTGCTCTGCAAAGGATATTCGCGTGTATCCTGTGCAATGCCAGCCGCATTATTTCGCTGCTCCTGCTCGTCTGTGAAATTTCCCATCGCGGGCACTGCAGGAGCAAAAGAAGAAACAAGCGTTATATAAAGAGCAAGAGAGAGTGAGAGAGAGAGAGAGTTATTTATGGACAACATCAACTGAATTTCATCTTCAAAAGTTGCCGCTTCAATTTGAAGACAGCTGCGCTTCAATGATTAGTTTTTCTCTTCATCATCTTTCGCTCTTCATTTCTGCGTTTCCTTTCTTTTTACACCTTTCGTTCCACTTTAAATTGTTTTGCTTTCGCTACGCTTTTCTTGCCCAAGACCTTTAGACCTTTAACGTGTTCATTTCCTGTCAACCATTCGGGTTTTTATGTCGGCTCTCAGGCATAACTAAACTTATACAGATGTTTGATTTTTTCCAACATTGAGACGCGTGTCTTATGCATATGCATGGGTTTTTTTTTAATGATCTTGCGCATATGGCGTATACATTTTAAGTAATTCTCATAACAGTTTTTTTCTACCTACTGCAAATACGAAAATAAACTGACCTGCCCATATATTATGTGCTATAACGTTTTGGTTAACTCTTAGCTCATACTTCATTATGATTTTAACTTTCTCGCTTAGTATGTTTACTAACGTCAAGAGCAGCTTGGCTGCAGCACCCCTATATCTCCAGTTTGAATAGGCTTATAATGCTGCTGTCCATATTTTGTGCTAGGCTTATCGTGTTTTATACTTGGCTTGTCTCTTTACTATTAAATATTATGATTCTTATCTGCCCACGTCTACCCTTAGCTGAGTTCCTCACGGGTTTCAACAATCTGACATAACAATTTCCACGCTGACCTTATTCCCAGGCCTATGCCGCTTATTAGCTTAGATCTGTCATGCCCTGCAGGCCGTGCAACACAGCAACACCTGCTCATCAGGCGTTCACTTTGATCTCTAATACCCCCAGCTTAGGCTTCTGCATTCCCAGCTCGAGCCCAACGCCAGCATATGGCTCAGCGCTGCAAAGTGTTGTCATTTATCTTCGCTAACATCTTGAGGGCATAACAAAACAACAAAAGCAAAATGTAGCTGCTCCCGCGGGGATGGCAGCAGCTTTTTGCACAGCAATCCCTCCTCCTTCCCCAAACTCAAGACGCGCCCCGGGGCTAGCCAAAAAATGCCTTCTTGAGTGGGTGACCCCGTTTCTCCAGACAGTAAATGGCGTAATTACTGTGTGAAGCTGTTGTTGCTGCTGTTTTGAGTTATGTCGCCTTCTTGGACACCAGCAGCAGCAGCAGGAGCAGGAGCAGAAGCAGCAGCAAGGACGACACAGGACGTCAGGCATGCCTCTGAAGTTTGTGCTTGGCTGCCTTTTGTTTCGCCAATGCCATTGTCCTTGTTGTCACTGCCGCAGCCACTGCTGCTACTGCTGCTGCTGCTGCTGCTGGCCGCTTCCTACTTATAAAGGCATATCTTGCATCTCTCGGTACTCAGCTCTTTGTGGTCGTCATAAAACGTTTAAAATAATTAAAATATTCCGGGCCACATTTATCACACACTGGGAGAGGGTGTACGAATAGAAGTAATGGCAAATATGCCGCATATCCTTTTTATTTTCGCATTTACTTATTTTTTTCTTCTGTCGCATGCTCTTTATAACTAATTCTCTTTGTGTTTGTGGGTCTGTCCCCAGGGTCTCTATTCTCTCATTGTTTTTTGGCCTTTGTATTTTTAGAAACCTTTAAATACAACTCCATAAAGAACAACAACAACAACAATAGGCACACGAGCTGCAATCACCGCAAGCAAATCTCACAAATTGGGGTTAAATCTCTGCAGTGCCTGATAAAAACATACGCACACACACTTGAAAGATGCTGCCTCTCTCCTCCAGTTGTACGTGCGTTTCTTTTGTTTACCCTTACCCTACTTTTTTGAGCCCTTCACGCGCTCTACTCCGCCCAGCCTCTACTCGATGTAGTGCACCAAAAAAAAACAACAACAAAAAGTGGATAAATAAAAATAAAAACCAGCAAACAGCTGGTTTGCTAGTTGCTGCTAAGGCTGCCCCCCATTGCCCTGAACCCCCCCCCCTCTCCCCCTCTCCCCCTCCTATGCCCCTCCTCAGCATCCTTGTGCGTGACAAATGCGTCGTGGTGTTTGTTACTCGTCATGTAATTGCTGCCAGGGAAGGCGACGCAGCATGTGGTGCAACCGAGCTCGGTCTGAGTTCAGCCTTCGCTCTGTGGTTTTTCGCCTGAATATCCTTGGCTCAGATGGACGGCTGTCAGATGTTAAGCACAACCCAATTCCAGTTTCCCATTATAAAAATGTGCTTTGTAATGCTCGGTAGCCGAACTGATCCACTGACGATCTTTGAGTGCGGCATCTTTGCTGCTCTTCAGCTTAAAGTCTCTATCCGAACCTTCTGTGTATTCCTTTTGTACTTCTTTATTTGTAAAGAACTGAGATGATTCTCAAAATGAGTTGCAAAATCTAATGTTGCTTATAGCAAACAAAAACAATGTTCCTTTTCTTATGCGATCATTTTAATGCTACTGCCTGAATCGGTGTGAATTCAAGTTTTAGAGTTGGTAAATTTATTCCTGTTTCGTACAGCTGTTATTCCAATTTTTGATTAACTATAGAAGAAGTAGAGAAATCTTCTTTGACATATTAATTTTCTTATTCGAAATTCCCCCAAATCGAAAGTTATTAATATCATTCCTCAATTTCGATTGTTGAAGCTGCTTCGGTACTTTGTAGTTATCTGTACGATTTCTTGCTTCTCTCCCTATATTTCGTAAAGCTTTTCTACATGTCTTTATCTTTTGAAATTTCTTTCATCAAAAAATCTTTTCAACATTCTTCTTTTCTTTTCACAATTGGCTTATTTTCTATAGTTTCCAACCTTTTGTTGCATACATCCCCATTCTGATCATGGTCTAAGTACGTATATTAAAGAACATTTTACGATATTTTCTTTATATGCCACAAGTTTTGTGCCTGTCCATTCAATGCATCCACATTCACATTCTCTAGCTGATATTATTGAACTATAAAATCTCAGTTACTTTAGGATTTATAAGCGACTTCCTTCCTATAAATACATTAAGCCTACAACGCAGCTACGTCTGTCTGCCTGCCCTGCTCTGCCATCTGTGGAAAATCCCCTATTCATGCGGCACGCTCTATTTGACTCATCAATCAAATGCCGTTGGCAGACTGGCAGTTTTATCCCCTATTCGTTTTCACACCTACCGCGCGTAGATTTTTATCCCCATTGAATCAATGAATATAAATGATCTCTGGTTCAGTGACCGATCCTGCGATGTTAACAGCATTGTAGCCTCTAAGCAATTTGTGACCATCCCTAAACGTGAACCCAATGTGCCATAAAAAATATTGTCCAAATATCTGTTGGATTGTTCGGAAGAGGGGCAGCCTAAATCTTTGCCCGAGCATCCTTGCACTTGGTACAATTTAATCAGGACTGGGACACGGACTCGGCATTCATAGGAAATGCAACTGAAAAATGCCATGCATGCAGCCAGCCAGCCAGGCATACAATGCATTGTCATTTAGGGGGTTGCAGCTACCCCTAAGCCCGAGCTGCTTGTTTACTTTTGCATGCTGAGGGACTGCCAGAGGGGCGGAGACCCCTCATTCTATTCCATGGGCTTTGGGTATTTTATTGACTTTAGTAACCCCCCGCCCCCCTCCTCTAGCACACTCCAATCCACACCCCACAATAGTTGCCTAAAAAAAAAAATAGAAAGGAAATTGTACTAAAGAGATTTTGCCGTTCGGGCCGCTTATCTCGTCTGTCTCTATCTCTATCTAGCGCATTGTTGTTAGCCAAATGTTGGAAAATGTTTTGTACTCTCTTTGGGCTCGGGCACTTTTTTATTCTCTAGCTAAATGTAATGCATTGCACATTGTTGTTCTCGTTCTTGTTGTTGTTGTAGTCCCTGTCACACACTTGAAAGTGAAATGAAGCTGAAAAATGCATTTGCAGTCGTCGCGTATGCAGTTCCTTCAGTATGCCAAATGCAATTTTCGGGCAATTTGCGCAGCAATTTTTTATTCGTCCTTTCCTGCTGGTGGTTAGTCACGTACTTACCGGATATAAAACTGATCTCGGATAGCATAATCCATTTGACAGCAAAGTACAAATTGATTTTCAGATATTTGCCCACACGATGATGCAGCTTTATTGTAACATCTCGGGCATGATCCATTATGGTATCGGGCATATACGAGAACTGTACGGGCTCGCCGGAAAAGTAGCGTCCACCAATGCTAAAGAAGACCTTAGCATGGACAAAAACCTAAATATGGATGAAAACAGAAAGGATTGGTTTATTATAAGAAATAGAAAACGTTTGTTAAAGTTCTAAGATCTAAATCTGTTACTGATATATTTTAGGTATGTCTTGAAATATTCACTTCTGTTTCAAATTTAGCTAAGCATCAATAATATTTTAATAATGCCCTTGGGTTCTGATCGGCTTCATAAATCATGTAGGGCTTACACTCACCTGCACATCCTTGGTATACATATTGTTTGTATGCAAAACGATGGCACTGAAATTGCGCACCGTATCGAATTCAAAAACAATTTCAACGGGTTTGCCCAACAGGCCGGGCGTATCATTTCTCCAGCCAATCCATTCGTAGCCTAAAAAAAAGAACAGCACAAATAAAATAGTAAAAGACCATTCATATGAAATATACAATGAAATGTATCGTCATTTTGCTAGAGTTTATTTTTTCGTTTCCGAAAAAGGGAAAAAAGAAAATAATCAATAGGCCAACCCGGCGGCACATATGCTCCAGAATGGCATGTAAAGCTATTTAAGCCCCCCAACCGAAGTCAATGGCACTTTGGGGTGAAGTTTCGTAGCCCAAAACAAACAAATGCTCACGGCAGGCGACACTGGGATGGGTTGACTGGGGCTTGGCGGGCGACTATGTGGGGATGGACGACTGCTCATAACTAGGAATTATGGCCAAACGCGACATTTAAGCCAGTTCTTTCCACTGTTTTGTTTGCATGGCCCTAATTTGCCTTGAATTAGGTGCGCAGCTGGCAGAGATGGGCCTTTGGATTCTCTCAGAGGCCAGGAAACATTTAAGTAGCGCTGCATTAGTCATGCAATATTAACTAACTATGGTAACTGTGCTCTAACCAGACCAGAAATTATACAATTTCCAGTAGAGACATTTGGGGTAGAAGCGAGTTATCAATGGGCTGTCAGGCAAGGGGCGGCGACTTTTAACCATATCGATTGCGGCTGCTTACAATGCAAATAAGCCAAATGCCAGGACATAATAATCATATAGAAGATGGCCATTCAATTGTCAGCGATGAAAAATAATGCGCTAAAACTTTTCCATTGGCTTTCCTGCAATGCGATTGCGTTTTATGTGTGTGTCTGTCGCGACGACGACTGCATGTCTAATTGTCTGTGCGAACTTTTCTACTTAAATTCGCACAGCGCAAACTTTTCAATAATTTCGATTATTGGCCATTTGCCAAAGCGGCAGCGAAAATGCAAAAAAAAACAAGAGAGATCAGCTCCGGCAAACCGAAAATTAAATACCCTTGCGGAAATTTGGGTTTAATGCGAAAGCTTTATTGTTTTCGAAGGAGCCATATAATAAGTCTGGCATCGAATCGAATCTAGAGTATATATATGCCTTATAGGTTCGAATATGTCTTTGACAAATTTTATGGCAAAACTATAATACCCGCCGCAAGGGTATACAAATATCGAGAGACAAAAAAAAAGGAGACTTGCGAAAATTCGCAGTTTGCCAGTTGCGAACTTTTGCAGCCGCCGGCTCGGAAATGAATGCCAGTGTTGCCATAAATTATCAAATATGCATAATGTTTACATTTTTACAGGCGCATAGTTCACAGGGCGGTTCACTTGGTTGCGGTGCGGAGTGGGGTGGAGTGAAGTGGTTCGGTTCGGTTCGGCTTGGCTCAGTTCGGTGCGTTGTGTACTAGGTTTTGTATCCGGCCAAGTTTACTGCGACGCCAGCAAATAGTCCCAAGTTATTATTTATTTTGTTTATTGTGTTGTGAGGCAAATTATTTGCAGGCCAAAAGTTTGGCCTGGCCACGCCCTCGAAAACACAGTCCCTTTCCCCTTCGATGTTCAATGAAGTGAACTTTCGGCTTGGTCGCCCTGTTTTGGAGTTTGCCTTATGCTTTTTCTGTCGTTGAACTTTTGTAATTATTTGATGTTAATCAGTTTTTTCTATTGCAATAAATCTTTACACGGAGGGGGGGTTCATTTCACCAGCTAAAAAACAGCCAGTTTTAGTATAAATATATGGAGAAAGTTTGGGCTATGTCCATGTAAAAGTAAACCTTTAAACGGCAGCAAACTTTTAGCCCGCTTTTGGGTCGAAAGGGTTAACTTTCAGAGCGTGCTCTAATGAGCGAGGTGGCTCCAAGTGAAATATATGTTAACTTATGCATATAGCTTTAAATGTTTGCGATACGTTCAATAAATTTCAAAGCAATATTTTTTTATGACGATTCGATTCTTTAACCTTTTGCTCAAGCGACTTAAATCGAATTGCACTTACCTTTGCCAAAGCCGTGTATATCCGTGCGGAAATTATCCTTGCCTTTTTGTCCGTCCACCAATTGACCCAAGCCATCCACATAGCGATCGCCCTGCTCATTGCCATCGTAGGTCTTGTCCGACAAATCCACCTCCATGCCCCGCTGCACGCCCTTCGGTATGCTATACGAAACAATGCCCTCTGGAATGAAAAAGCAAACGAAAATTGAAATTTTAAATAAAGCGATGCACAATTCGAGGAACTAAAACTCAGAACTCACAACCTTCTAAAGTAACTCGAGCCGCCTACACACATACACACACACACACGCACACACATGTGCATATAAATATATATGTATTACTTCCTCTCGGTTCACATCACGTCATGTCACGTCAGGTTTCGTGTCACGTGACACAGACAAACGAGTGACAAAGCAAGTCTCGAATTTGTGTTTGTGTTGGTTTTTAAACTGCGGTAAATTTAAAGTTTTTCCCCTGTGCTAAGCTGGCAACAACTTTTTCCAGGGGCGGGCTGCTGGCACAGTAGCATATAGTGGGGGGCTTAGTAGCGGGGCAGGATATTGAGTTACTTGAAACATAATTTCGTTTTGCGGCCACTTTTGTCTTTTGTCTGCCATTTGGTTTCTGTGGTTATTTTTAGCAAAGTGTCTGCCCCTGAAGGGGAGGAGGTAGCAGTAGAGAGTTTAGTTTTAAGAGTTTAGTGCTTGGAGTTGGGGATTTGGGGGTTGGCTGTTCGTATACTCGGCCATAGTTTTTCAATGTCAAAGTCACAGTGGCTGACACACCACAACAACAACAACAACTGAGTCATGCTTTTGTGGCTGAGTTTATAAAGTGTTTTGATGTTTGTTGAAGGATTGTTTGGGATTAAGTACAGGCCCGACTAAGTGTTGGTTAACGCCTTTCTATGGCAAATACAAACAGCACCTGACGCTAATTACCAGAGCTACAGCAGCGGATAACTACGTACGTTACCCAACAAAACAATTACATTTAGATCGAAAAGCAACAACAACAACAACATCAACAACAGGGTTGCCAGGGCACTCAAAATAATTACACACAAAGCTCAAACTGTTGGGTAGTGGGAGGGGTTTGCTTGGCTAATTTACTCGCATTTCTATTTACACAATCGGGCTCGTGGCAAGCACACGACAGGACAAACAGTCAAAGGCATTTTCCAATAATTACCAAAAATCACATAATTACACATAATTACGGGGCCGCGCAACGAATACGAATCGGAAAAACGTAGTCCAAATCGCAGGCAACGCACTGGGCATAGATAATAAGGGAGGGGGATGCCGGATACAATCGGGCATATATCACGCGTATGTGTGTGTGTGTTTGCATAAGGGGGAAGCATTGAGAGGCACCTACAAATATTAATTATTATTTAATTTATTTATAATGTGTATGGATAGTCGTCAACGACAAAAAAAGAAACGCCACACTTAATTACAGGAATTAGGGCAAAGTCCTTGTCTCGGCCACTTAAGCACACACACACACACACGCACAAGCGGAGCGACCATCAGACAGAGAGATAAGCCTTCATTATACAAGTACACGATATGCGAGGCACACACATATACTTATATACTATATGGCATATGGGATATTTAATTAACTGCAAAGACATTTAAGGCAGCGCGTTGTACAATTGCGACGCGACATCTTTCACGCAACGTCCACAAATAATCCCCCCTGCCGAACCACGGTGGAGCCTGGGTGGACACTTCCACTTAAGCCTTGTTATTCGCGTGCTCACATGCGATTTTTATTTGCGTGTCGAGAGAAAAAGAGACAAAATGGAAACTGCCAAAAAAAAAAAACAAAAAACAAGTAACAAAACGTAGTCCTCGCAGTGCGTGCAACGGCCTCTAGAAAAAAAAAATACAAGCCCATATGTACATGTTATATGTCTGCGTTGTCCAAGACAAAATCGGGCAGTGAGCAACTACAATATATATAAAATGTAATTTGCTTCCTCATTCTGCTGCCCCCGTCACGCAAACAAATTCACAATGGGTACGACGACGTCTGCGAACTTTGCTGATGAGTCAAATTGAGCAGCAGTTGAATAAATAAATGAATAAATAGATACTTAGTTGGCTGCAGACCAGCCAACTTGTGGCCTAACAACTCCACTTAGTTCTGAGTTATAGCTGAAATTTCTTTTCGAATCCAGAATAAGGGAAAGTTACCGAAACGAAGTACAGAAGCAGCGCAGGCAGGGTTGAAGTCGCCCGCAAGATTTCTGAAGAAATTCTGCTGATTATTATTATCAAACATGGGCCATGGATAGTTTATATTTGACTTACATTTGGTCATTTTCAACATTTAAGGTACTTGGCTAAGAGAGTCTGGTACTCTGTGTATGGTAAGGGAAATATATGCCTGTACAGCATAAGCTGCCAAATCTGTTTAGATCTAAAGGCTTGCTATGCCACATTTAATATATATGCTCTTACCATATGTCTCTTTCATTAGCCTACATTCATTAGCCTTAGCATGTTATTGGATTTAATCTCCAATTAAAATACCAGATACACCTCTTCAAATTGTTTGTTCCACAAAACTATTTCACACTCTTGACTAACACAGCTCCCACAGTGAGCACTCAACAAACGCCTACACAAAGGCCATCGATTAAAGCTCAACTTTCAATTTCCATAATGGCCAAATACTTGGGCTTAATGCCCCCAAAACACTCATAAATTATTCACATCGCTTTGTAGCGGGCACTCATAAATCTAGAGCTCAACGCTAATCAGTTGTTGCATTTGAAAAAAAAAACTAAAATATAAATAAAAATAATGCACTTTAGCATATGCATAAAAATCCCCATCCAAACTTCAAACCGAAATCCGTTGTGTGGATTCGAATGCCAAGGGCTAAGCCGTTGTTAAATCGAAACAAATTTGTATTTAGCTCGATGGGAAATCAGAGTGTGTCACTTGCCCCGAAGATAATCTGCAGCCATGACGTGACCATAGCCCGATCCGGCTAGACCCTGCCTACCTCCCTCCCTCCCCGGCTGCCCTCAGCTCGATTAAGCCCTATTTGTTTATGATTGTGACGGCGCTTCCAGAGCAAACAGCAACAAACCTGGGTGCGGTCTAGAGCAGAGCTCTATCCATGTAGGTGTGCCCATTGATTTGCATTTAAATGCTGCGCGTTGGAAGTCGGGTCCGCCAGTGGCAGAATTTATGGCCACAATTTATAAACAATTATGATTTCGGTCTAAATATCTCTAAGAGCTGAAGCGCATCGATGAGATTAATGTGTGCCATAAAAGTTTGTGTCAGTTGAGTTTTGTCAATGCGCTCGTTACTTGGCAGCTTTATTGATTTCTTTTCGCCGTCTGTCTGGCACTTGTCTAGACCCCCAGACCAGGCCATGGAGCCCTATGAAGCCTCATGCCATCTTATCTCGTTTAATTTGCATATGAAATGCGCTCTGTACAACTAAATTCCCCAAAGCAAATCAAATGACATGCCCCCATTTGAGGGGCGGTCAGTTTGCATGTCTGGGCCCCACCAACCGCACAGAACTCAACCACCAAAGGGCGTGTACATAGTTCTGAGACCCCAACACAAATGGCGCCAGTTATCAGGCCCCAAAGCCCAACCACACATTGCGTTAATTTACGGAATAATTTTGACTTCCGCGCCCGGTTTCCCAGTTCCCCCCGGTGAACTGTTCGACCTGTGTTGCCACTTCAGCTCATTTATAGCTACATTTAGCTTTTTTCAGTGGATCTACCATCAATTCTAGCTATATTTAAAGTTATTAAATTTTTGTATTGGTGTGTTGCTAATTTCTTTGTACCCAATATAATAAAAAGTTTCGGATGCATAATTGTGGCGACTCTTTGCAACATTGCTAAGTTTTTTCAGCTATTTTTATAGCTGTGATTTAGGTTGTTTTTAAGCGATAATTTCTTTGTAGCGACAGTTGGCAACACTACCGAAAGAAGAACGTGAACCTTTCTTAGTGCTTCTCAGAAAACTGCACAAAAGGTGGCAACTCTTTGCCTATTGTGGCCCGACTTTGTGCATTCAATATAAGAAAAGATTTTAATTTCGCTATTTTAAGCTATTTTTAGCTAATTTTGCTGTAGCAAGTGTTGGCAACACTGGCGCCAAGCCAAAACCTGACTCTGACTCTCTGGTTCTGGTCAAACAAATTGTCATTAGGCGCGCGCGTTGTTGTTATCGCTAGTACCTGGAAATTATAGAAAAATTTGTTTGTCCAGACTAGTTACAGTTGTTGTTTTTTTTGTTGTTGCTGTTTTTTGCTCGTGCACTACTTGACAATTGCGTGCAAACATCGACAACGGGCCGTCCAGACGACAACAGCAACAACAACACGCGCTGGCTTGTCGTCTGCATAGTTTCTCAGCCAGCTTTGTCGACGTCTGGATTTCGATTTGGTTTCGGTTTTGCTTTCGGATTCTGGCATGGGCCGAGCCAATGTCTGCACGCGATATATTTTTTTCAAGTACATTTCGCATGTTGCAACCAAACAACAACAGCAACAACAACAACAACAACCTATCAACATTGCGTGGTGCCTCATGTGTTGGCCAAATGTAAAGCAGGCAGAAGGGCTGCAAAGGAAAACATAGGCGCAGTCGTTGCTATGATTGGATTATGCGGTTTGACTAATACGCTGCCCATAATGCCATGTTTTTCTTTGAGCTGAGCAATTGCTAGGGAAGCAAAAAAATTGGCGCATTTACAGCGAAAACGGTCAACAATAATACGAGTTCCGTTCTAAGGCGATAACTTGGCAAATTGCTAGCATTTCGAGCTAAGTAAAACTTGCATTTTGAATGAGGCAAAACAATTCTAAAGGAAGCATCAGAGTGCAGCAATTATTTTATGATATCTCCCTTAACGCTCCCTCCTGCCTCAAGCACTCGCTTCAACTTTGAAAGTAATGTTAGAAAATAGTTTAATTAAGCTGTCATGATTGTCTTTAAGAAAACGTCTAGCCCCTTTTTTCTAAGAAGCCCACAATATGCATCTACAAGTTTTTCCTGTACGAGAAAATTTAGAAAATATAGAAAAAGGACTGCTATTTTGATACAGATTCAGTTTGGAAAAACTCTAGCTCTCTTTGAGCTCTGGAGATTGACTTATGCAAAAACTAAACATATTCCAGACTATAAAAGCAAGTGCTTCAACTATAAAGAAGTATTGAAAATTACTTCCTTATTCAGGCTCAAATACTAGGCTTCTGTTAACTATGCATTATGTTAGCCAAAGACAGTTGAATAATAAAATAAACTCCACTTTTAGTTAGCCAAAGCTGTTTAACTTTGAGCTGTCAGAAGCTATGTATATACTAAGTAACAATACACTTTTTAGATTATGGGAATGAATATAGAATTCTGAAAATTCATCGAGCAGCTGTTAATATTATTTTATTGGAAGAAACAAAGAGGGAATTATATAATAAAATGAGTACAGCTTGCCTAGGCTAAATGATAAAATAAAAAAATTATAACGAAATTAAAAACGATATATTTTAGGAATGAAGAAAATCTCAAAATCTTTGAACTGAAAAGCAGAGTGGGGTTTACTATATCTAAGGACAAGGAGTAAACGCTATGGAATAAAAATGAAAAACTCTAGAACGCTGAGCTAGGCATTTATAAAGCAGAAATTAATCCAATTTTCCTTGCGGTCGCAACAGTCAAAGTAGCTGAACAGCTTATTCTAATATCTAAGAGCATGCCAAGCCTTATAAGCAGAGTTTTCGCATAGATTGTTGCCTCGGAATGCCGCATCTTAAGTTTTCCAAAGCTATGCTAATGCATTGCTGCATTGCGCTCACACACTCGCTCACACACACACACACCTATCGCTAACTACACACTTAAGCCGCTTTGGCTTGTCTAATAGACATACAGAGCCAGCGTTTAGGTTCCACTGGCACTGGGCACTCCTCGACGAGGAGCATCGGAGCGCGATGATAAATTAACGCTGACACTAAAACTCTGTTAGCCTTTCCGCGCTATCATTGCTCATGTCGAGTTTTTATCGCACTCGTTTAAATTCGCCTCCGGACAGCGACTGCGATTCGGAGAGCGAGGAGCTGGAGCAGGTTAGAGAAGGGACTTACCTTCCCAGGGGCAGCCGACGATCTCGGCGCGCAGGCAAACGGTGCGATCGTATTGACCATACGGATATATGCGTATCTTTGAGGCAAAGATAATCGGCTGCAGTGCGTTCTCCACCTCGCTGTAAGTGTTGATGTTGCCGGGCAGAATCTGTGAAGTGAGTTGAATTGTATTGGATCTTGGTTGGGTTAATTGAAGGCCATCCTTACCTCTTTGCCCTGGGTGTTCTTCCAGCGCTGCCATTTGTCAAAGCCCGGTCGCCAGTATTCGAGCACATAGGCCTCGGTGTACTCCTGACCCTGACCCTTGCCGTAGCGACCCTGTGTCCGTATGGCGGTTATCACATGCGTCTGCAGCAAGTCCACCTGCAGATATTCCTTGAGCGCATTCGATACCATATGCTTGGGGCACCAGGCACCGCCATTATTATCGGTTTTCAGTCTGCAAAGAGTCAGACAGAGAAAGAGAGAGAGAGAGAGAGTGAGACGGAGTGAGACGACAACTTTATTAATTAGGATTGCAAACGGTAGCTGCGCGAATAACCAGTTGCGCAGGCGGCTCGCTAGTAAAATTTTTATAAATTAATTGACATTAAACGTGCGGCACCACACGGCGTCGGTGCTTCAGCCGCAGGCTCCACTCAGTGGCAGCCACAGCAACAGCTACAGCTACAGTCTTAGCCACCGCGAAAGCCACTGACATTTGCGGCCCAAATGACAGGGTGGGGAGGGCGGGAGGGGGTCGATTGGAGCTCTAGCTGGAGCCTGGCACTGGTGGACGTTTGTCTGGCAGCTCGTCTCGTTCGTTAAGCTGTTGCGGTTTTCGACGCAGCAGGATGTTGTCTATGTAATTAAGGATTATTTTAAGTTAGACACAGACGGCTGGACGGCAGGATGTTCGTGCGTGTGTGTGCCTGTCCGTGTGTGTGTGTGCGTGTGTGTGTGTGTGCTGCCTCCCCCCTGCTACTTTAATCAATTTCGCCTTCAGCCTCTCGGCTAGTATTGATATGTTAACCACTACAAATACGTTTTTCGGTTTATATTTCAATTAAGTTTTACATGCTTGATTGCATTTTGGGGCCTTAATGTTTGCCCATTATTCATCGGCTGTGACTAGGCCTAGACCCCTGCCTGATTCCAGCCTCGCCTCTGGCCCAGCCCTACCCCTGGTCCTGCCACTGCCCCGCATTCCCAGCCAGTTGTCGTTGTTGTCGTCTTGCAAATTGCTTCATTTTCTGTTGCCTGTCTTTGGCAGCAGCAGCTGCTGCTGAGTCTTTGGCCTGAACCTGTGCCGGAGCCAGCAGGTTATTGAATTTGATTGCAATATTTATTTAGTGGCCGACATGCGTTTAATGCATTTTTGCAATTTGTTATTTATATTTATGTATGTGCCTGGCGTGTGCATCGAGTGCAATTAGTAATGTCTTCCGCATCATTTGAGAGGCTTAGAGTTGTAATTGTGGCCCTTTTAAGTGTTTGCAAGTAATTAAGGCACTTCAATGGTTATGACAAATCTTCAAACTCAATTTTAGCACATGCCTTTATTTAACGAATTTATTGTAGTTGAAAGTAATTTATTAGAAAATTAAGTTTAAGGCCGCTGCAAAAGACTTCCTTTAAAATGCTTGCAAGCTAATAATGCTTTAGATTGTTATGGCAATTATTTTTAGTACATGCTTGATGATTTAAATCATTCTTAGCTCAGAACGGCTAGCAATTTAATAGCTCGACGAATCAAAAATGCATCCATTTAAACATAATTTAATTTAAAAGTCAAAAGATTTCAACCAATTTTAGCCTACAAATGCCTTTAACACTTTCTTCGTGCTCTTATTAATATGCTGACCGCAAGCTGCGTGTGGCTTAGCACACTTCCTCTGGCCAAGACCGTGTTATAATCATTACCAACTGCAATTACTTTCAAGTGCACAGATCAAAGATGCTTTATTAAAAAAAAAACTTAAAGAGCTCCCACAACTTGGCAAAAAAAAAAAGGTCAATTTAATCATCATAAAATTGCTTAGAGATTTTTTTTCGCCCGCCCGACAGACAGGCAGGGAGGCAGAGCTTGTGGAAGTGCTCGGAAAGCAAATAACCTAAAGGCATAGCAGAGTGCACAGAGGAGCAGAGCAGGGCAGAGAGAAAAATCGGAGTGAAATACGTATAAACATCATTTAAAATGCTAATATCCGCAGTTATGTGCATTTCAACTTGACTTTAATTATTGTTATTGCCAAAGTTAACAATCTGCGCCGTCGTCGGCTGCTCATTTCAAGCGGCTGATGGACTAACTAACTGCTGGCTGCCGGGCACTGGACTCAGACCCGAACTCAAACTCAAACTCTGGACTGGACTTGCACTTGGACTGGCTTTGGCTTCTAATCAAGCGCCGCCTGCTGAAAGGCGAGAGTATTTTTTTTTTGTTCTCTCTCTTTCTGTTTTTTCTGCCCCTTTCTGCTGTTTTTAATATGTAAGAGGTTGTAAATTTAATGGCCTGACGGCCGTTGGACGCTGGGCGAGGTAATGAAAATCAAACAGCGCCAACTGTCATTAAACTAATCTTTGTAATTCAATAGCTGCAGACGACCAACATGGACAACGTCAACGTTAGCGTCAGCGTCAACATTGAGCGTTCCATGTTCGCGCATCCTGTTGGCCTCAGAGGGCTTATGGCTTAGATCGGAGATTTCAGGGCTCAGGGCTCTGGGGGTCTCTTTGCTCAGTAGGCAAATGCGCGTGATTTGTTTTAAGTGCATGTTTTTTGTAATGAATTACTTTAAGTTCGGTTGGAGTTTTGGGCTAGTTAGCTGCCTGGTTAGCTAAGTGCACGGCAGCCACAAATTATAATGCTGCCTGCACTTTTGAACTTTGCTTCATGGCTCTGGAACTTTGGTTAAGCAAATTGCAGTGCGCTTGATTGGACTTGGTTGGTGGGTGGTTCGTTCGTGGCCAAGGTGCAGGGGCAAAACGCGAATGAAAAAGACAAAAGAAAGTTCCAGCTAGTTTTGAAGAGTTTGTTGCGCTGTGCGGCAGTCATTGGGTTAAGCCAACTTGAGCTGGTAAAGGTGAAAGGCTGCCATTAAAAGTACCGAGAATTTAAGGAAACTAAAGCATGCTCAGATGCTTGAAACATTGAAACAGTGAGAGGATTATATAAGGAGCTTACTAGACTGAACCACTACACTGTAAGACCCACTCTCACAAATCTATATAATATTAAAAGATCTAAATATGTACTAAAACAGTACTCAAAGTTCTTTAATGAACACTTGTGCTAATCGCTCTCGTTAAACTGTCTATAATAAATCAAACTATAACCGAAAATACAGGAAAAACTATTTGTATTGAAAGCAACCACTAAAATCGCAATTAGAAGGAGCATAAAACGTATACTAAAACTGTACTTAATTTTCGTAATCGCTCTCGCAAAGCGGTCTATAAGTCAAACCCTATCAGAAAACACAAGAAATACTTTGAATACCCGTACCCTATTAAAAGAACCTCTAGTAAAAAGAGACTCAACTGTGTACTCTTAATGAATACTTCTGTTCGTCATTAAATCCAAGCTTTCCTTATTAGATTCCAATTTAAATCAAACTATAGGAAAAATTTTAATTACCCCTATATCTATTGAAGAAACCTCTAAAAACCTAACTGATGGGAAATTAAAATGTGTACTATAACTGTACTAAAGTGTCTTAAACGAAAACATGTGCTAATTGCTCGCTTAAAACTGTCTATAATTTATGAAGACCCCTAGAAAGAACTCTAAATTCCCAAGCTTAAATAAAAACGTTTAGGATTTGTGCTGTTAGGTGTACCAAACCATTGTGGAACTCTGCTTAGTGAAGGCAACAACGTAATAAATGCATTGCCCGCTAATCCATTTCATTTGCCATTAAGTTTCGAGTCACTTAGCTGCACAACAACCACGTCGCCTGTCAATCCACAGCACTTTGCCCACCACAAGCGACTAACTATGCAGCACCAGCAGAAACCACCAGACACGACTCCCCGCTCAGGTGAGTCAGTCGTCGAGAGCCCAGCAGCAAGAGCAGCAGCAGCAGCAGCTGCCATTGGCCAACAGTTAAGAGCCCGCAGCGAAAAGAAACATATCAAATGCAGAGACCTCAACTCCAGCCCCAGCCCCAGCCCAAACTCAAATCCAAGTCCAATTCCAGTACCGCAGGCTTTGTCTTTAGCTTTTTGTAAGTTCAACTTTGCCTCGTTGGCTCTTTAGTAAAAATTCCAGTTAATCTGCCTGGGACAAAAACAAAAACAAGAAAACATATATATGTATATATACATATATATATTTTTTTGTTTATCTCAACGTGCTCATCACGCATCGTTTTGTGGTTTTACTTTAGTGCCGCCATAAAGGGTTAATGTTAATGATGCCTTTGTGGTCTCAGTCCGTCTGTCAGTCTGTCTGTGCGTCTTTCTCTCTCTCTGGCAGTCAGCCCTGCACTTGAGTGTTTTTTAAGTGCATGTCTATAAACGCAGACAGCGAATTATTACAGAAAGCGAGAAGAATCTGTGGCAAGTATATATGTGTATATATAGTAGAGCCGATGTTTGCATTGATTTTGCCGTAACTCACGTGGTAATTGACATGTTTATGGTTTGAATGAGTGCTTTACTTTATATAGATGTGGCTGGTGTGGGTTATGTGCGAGTTAACTTCTGATATCCTATACTAATTATACAGCTAGACAGCGGTCTGATGGTGTCATCAATCATTTGCAACGAGCAGCCGTGGCAATTGCAAAACTTCCGCCCCAATCTTTTGACCCGCATTGCCTCACACTTCCCGTAGAGTCATAAAACTTTAATTCAAACGAAATATGCGTCAATAAAAAGTAAACAAAACCTCAACCAAACTAAAAAAAAAAGAAGAAAACTATATAAAACTCAACTAAACTCGTCTAGCCAGCTGGCAAATGCATTCAGTTCAGTTCAGTTCAGTTTCTGTGCAATGCTTCTGGTATATTTGTGCCCTTTGGTTGAACCGCCGTGTGAACCGGTTTGCGGTTTGCAGTCGCTCCACATTGAAATTGCATTTAATTAGTGGAGTGAAAAAAGGGCTGCCGACACACTCGGGCACACGCTATTCAGATATCGCTGTTGGGGCCATTAAACGGTTGCCCGGGCCCCTTGCTGCATATTCATGAACAGATTTCGAACAGATTTTCCTGCTGCCCGAACCCGCGATATCTCTTAAAGCGCGCTAGCTGAACACCAAATATTTTTCCAACTGATATGCAAAAACCCTTTTGTATTCGGTTTGGAATTTCGTATTTGGTATTTCGATGGGACAACTGTTTGTGTCATCCATAATATAATATAAGTTTTTCTAGTTTTTGTTTGTTTGACGCTTCTTTTCAATCGGTGGCTGAGATTTCGATTTTATAGACTGTCTGTCTTATCGCGCTAATGAAGTTGTCTATAAAATTGGCAATTAAACGAACACGCAGAGGCATTCATGATAATCTATGCAATGGGCCGGGGGGAGTGGCTGGAGACAGTCGTCGGGGCAGCTTTGGGTTAAGTGCTTACGTAGGTGCCACAGCGCTGACCTCCGACCTCGGAATTGGACATAAAAAAAAAAAAAAAATATACTTGACATGTAAAATTATGATTTCCTTTTTTAAAAACGTCTCGAGCTCCTACGAAATGAAATGTTTTTAAACAAAACATCAGAGCTCGAGAACTTATTGAACAAGCAGAATTTGCTGATCTATAAAGCTATCTCTTTGGTTCATTTGTCCTGTAAATATTCTCACAAATTGTATCAGTAATATTACAAGATTTTCTTGTTTTTTTCTCTAGTAGCGAGATTATAGTTCGATTTGTTTGACTACCGAATTCTTATAACCTTTGCCTTTTCGACGAACATGTTTTCGACTTTATTTTAATTACGTGTTTCTATTTATTTATTATATTTGATAGTTAAACTTAGAATTCAAGCTTTATATAGGTTTTAATTTTTTAAGTTTTGAATTCAAATTCATATTTAGTTTTAGCTAAAACTTAATTATAACTTACCTTGCGTGTTGTGGCCCAACGAATCCCGTGTCATGGGCTGAGCTAGCTGTGATTTGAGCATCTGTAATTGTGCCGGATTCCATGCCCAAAGGCACATTGCACGTAGCTATAAAATAGAAAAGACAAAAAAAAGCCATAAAATATTAAAAAACTTCAGAGAAAAAAGCAAAAAAAAAATAACGTTAATTAATGATGGATGCGCTTTGCATCTCGCTTGGAAGGCGCGCCAAAGTAAATTTAGAATGCCCGAGTGGGTGGGGCTGGATCCCAGTGGCCTGTGCTCATCTCGGCCAGCTCCATTGCAACGCCCATCAAATCTATCAAAATAAGTCAAGCGTCAATTTGACTTTTCTCTTTTGACATTTGAACGGGCCGCAACGGGGCGGTGGCACGCCCAGTTTTGTATGTGCCTAGTCCCCGGTGTAGGTAGGCCTATCACTTTCCCATGGCTTGGAGCAGAGACTGCGACTACTATCTGCTTTTAAATAAGGCAAACACTTAATCATTGCCAAAGTCAAGCCGAGCCGGGCAGAACGTCAACTACTTTACTTAATTTATTGCCTACCGATTGCATTTCGCATGCCCCATCAAGCCCCTGCCCCTGCTCTAGGTTGCCTTTTGATATGAATTGAAGTTGTGGCTGAAGTTGGAGCCCCCGCCGCCAACAGCTGTCTGTCTGTCGAGCTGGCTGGCTGGCTGGCTGGCTGGCTGTCTGACTGCCTGCTGACATTTTCGCCAGAATCAACACTGATTTGACATGACTTTTGTTGCGCAGGCACAGCATGGACCAGCTTCCAGTTCCCAGCTCAATGCTGCAGTGCCTCCTGCCCAAGGTGCGTGCATTCGTTTAGAAGTTTATAAATAAACACACACACACACACACACGAAAACGCGGAGACAGAACCTGGTAGAGGCGCTTTTTGCATTCGCACTTGATTGGATTTGATAGCTGGCAATGCTAATGGGAACTGAAGCTGCTCTGGAAAAGAGGCTGAAACTGAGGCTGGGCCAGGGCCAGGCCGGGTCAGGAGCCGTTGCCTTCGACTGCATATTGCAAGTGCATTCATTTGGAAAATTGTTGCATGTTTTGTTAACTCAACTCACTCGATGTGTCTAGCACAACAACATCAAGAACAACAACAAGTAGAAGAGCAACTAAGGCACTTCCTCTGCTTATTTGCTTATGTGGGGGCTTTAGGGCGGGTGGCTGGGCAAATATTGAAGGCATCGACAAGCCATGTAAGAAGGCAGTCTTGCATCTGCATCGACATCGACTGCTGAAGATGAACATGTTTATAAATTCGTATTTATGTATTTGGCTTGCTTGATTAACTATAAATATTATGGCTTAGATTTGATTTAGAGAAGACAAAGGCTGGCTGGCTGGCAGGCAGGCAGGCAATCTGGCTGTTTATGCAATATGACAGCTGCAAGTTTGCAGGAAAACTTGTGGTCGACTCGGGGAAAATGTATAAATAAGAGAAGCTGCAAACGAGTAAACTACGCAACTTATTACAAAGTTGGAAAGGAAAAGCTATGAAATAAATGAAACTATAGTTGTTTTTTCTTTCTTTTCTTTTTCATTTCTTTCAGATTCCACAACAATTTTCCACTTTTGTCAGCTTGGGAGTGCAAAACGAATTTATATGGAAATGTTAAGGTATGTAAACCAATTTAATCAACTCAATCAAATCTAAAACTAGATTTCTAGACATAATACATTCAATATATAATTGAATAATTTTAGTTCGTTTTTTCCCTATTCAAATTAGGGATTACATTTTTATAAATTGACTAAATATTTTTTTTATTTGATCAAAAGTTTTCTTTTATGTTTTTAGTAACAACTCATATTTAAAGTATTTTTCTATGCTTTTCCCCCAAAAAAGTTAACGTTTTTCGTTTAACCTATTTCCGTATTGTAACGTATTCTACAAACAAAATCAATAGTTCCATTAACAATAAATTGCCACAAATGTTTTATTTGTTTTCTATGCTGCATATGCTACATACATGTATGTAAGTATGTATGCTTGTATATATTTATGTATAACTATTTATGCCATTGTAATGCGACCCATTTGCGTCTCATACTTTTCCTTTGAAAGTCTTCCCATGCCGCTTAGCTTTTGTTCAGTCCATCAGGCAGCCTTCACAGTGTCCCCAGCGGCCTGTCCTCATATCAACATAGAAATTTATGAGCCGCTGACATGCCAGGGCCATTCAAAGTAGCCATAATCCTAAGTCAGCTCCAGCTACCATGGCTACTTCAGTATGGCTTCATTAAAGCCACTTTTGCTGCAACTACTGTGTGTGTGTGTGAGTGTGGAAAATTTTTGCACAAAAGTTTAGAGGATGCATATATATGCCCATATGCCAATTAATGAGTCGGGGCAAAGAGAGCGAGCGAGAGAGAGGGAGAAAGCAGACGATCCACAACCACCCATGTCCAAGCCGGAGCTATGTCAGATCTCATGTGCAACGGCGACGGGCGTCCCATGGCGACTGGCCAGAAGCCACCAACTGTGCCGCCTGTCGCTGCCCCAGAGAATGATGAGCCACATAAAAATGTGCTTTCAATGTCAATTAAAATACATTTTTCTTGAACTGAAGTCGACTCCTGCCCCTTCAAAGGGGCCACTTGAATAAATTCAAAATAAACATATATAGAAATTTTTTCCATTGCCTAAGATATAGTTTGACTTTAATGGTGCTTTGCCCCGGCAAAATTGATAAATGAGCACACACCTTTTGACTTGCCCGCCCCAAGAGTTCATTTATTTGATTTGTCAGATAAACGAGGCACTAGTTTTTGCCAAAAAATGAGTCGTCTTCTACTCACCAATATCGAAAGCCGCAATTGTTGGCGTATTGAGCATTAAACAGCCGCTGGCAATGATCAATGCCAAGAGGCTAAGGTTCCAGTTGCCATTCCAGTTACTTGTCGGACTGGCCAAATGCCGGACTCGACTGTGATTTGGTGTAGATGACGATGAGCGGGGATAGCTAGAGCGTGGGGAGCTGGAAAGGCACTGGCGGGAGAACATTTTGTAGCTAGAATCTGTTATTGTTGTTGTTTTTATTGTATTCGCTTTGTTTGTTGTTGATAAGCTGCGCGTCATTTTTTGGTGAGAACTTTTTTACTGATTGAAATTGGCCTGGCAGTGAGATCTGTAATAGAAAAAGATGAATTCAAAATGTTAATTAATATTTAAAAATGTATACACATGCAAATCTTATTCAACAAAGGCTTTCAAGGCACATAAGCTGCATTAGAACTTTTTGAACAGAGAGAAACTTGTCTCCCTTCTTTCAATTCTCAAAGAGCAAAGCTTCTTTAATTACATTTGAAGCTTATTTAGATAGGCCCCTCTCATCAGCAGCACTTTCCGTCTTTATCTTTTGCCCATACACCAACTAAAAACTCCTTCACAATAAAAGCTCATTTAAGCTACGAGCCTTTCTATGCGCTTCTCAGCGCACACATTCAACACTTACGTACGCGATGCTCTCAATGTGCCGCCTTCGCTTCTAATTAGTTTTGCTTAGGGTAGTCACCGCCGCTTCGCCCACATCGCAACTCATTAAAATTAAAAGACATCAAAAGAAATTTGCAAACTAAACACAAACACAGCGGCAGCAGCTGGTGGACCAGGGTGGACTGCGCCTAGGATGTCCTTTTTGCAGCTCCTAGCCTCGGCCTGGCGTGGCACGTTCGCTCATCTGCTGCCGCCTTTTGTGCTACCTTTTGCCCTTTTTTTCGCCGCACGCTTTGCATAAACTAAATAAATTTCTTGGCCACCCGCCTTACGGGCATGTCATAAAGTGGGCTGACTTGGATTTTCGTCTCTCCGGGGTTGGGATTGGTTTAGCTAGGTGCTTTTCTGGCAGTGCATCTGCTGCTTTAAATTGCTGCGCCAGCTGACGGGTCTGTGGGTCTATGAGGCTGCTGCTTCTTCTTCCTTAACTGTAAGCCAGCGTTAAATTAAAGCGGAAACTGGCTTGTGCCGGGCAGTGGGGGGCAGTCAGGCAGTCAGGCAGTCAACATGTTTGCTTTGGCCGCTTTCTATGGCTCACATATCTGCCCCGGCTGCGCCGTCTCCGGCTCTGCCTTCGCTGAAGCAAAATTGTTGCAAAATAATGTTAAATGAAAAGCACAAAGTCATTCAGGCAGCCACACAGAGTCAGAGCGAAAGAGTGGCGGTGAGAAAAAGAGGGCGGAGGAGGGGCGGAGCCTTGGATGCTGGCATGGGCACACACTGGCACATACCTCATCCGCCTCATCCGCCTCATCCGCATTGTGCTCACGACGTGTCGATCCCCGCTCTGCTCTACTCTATGCTGGTCCGCATCCTCCGCGTCATCGTCACGCACATTCACTTTGCATTCATTCAACTCGAAGGCAAAGTCGAAGTCGCTGTCGAAGTGGAAGCCCCTCTCGAAGACCGAAGACCGACTACGTCGACAGCCTGGCGTTGGCAGTTGTTGTTGTTGTTTTTGTTGTTTTTATTTTGGCATCAATTGAGTTTCAGATTCATTCACAGTTAAAGCCAAATGATGCAATAACCAAACGTGCTTTCTAATTCCGGAGACAGTCAACAGATTGAAAAGAACCATTCAGACAGCTCTGACTGAAGTTAAGAGTTAGTTAGAGCCTAAGCCTCGACTGTTGGCATACTCAAGTGACTTCTCTTTTCATTCACTAACATGACAAACGAGATCTGTGCAGGCTACCGATAAAAGGCTCTAAAGATCTGCTACCTACCCAAAGGTTTACAGCAAAATATACAACAAATTAAAGGTTGCATTTCTATGGGTAATTTGTCAGGGAATTCGACTTGGCCTTGGACTTGTACTTTATTTCTTAAGCACGTTTGTCTTTGCACCTTTGATTGTCTTAAGCTTAATTGATATTTTAAAGATTTCCGATAAATTAAAATATTATTCTTCATATTCTCGTATAATCTATACATTTAACAGAAGATTATATGAAATGTTTTAGGGTTTTCTTATGCAGATCTTAAGGAAAAACTCAGAAATCCTACACAAGCTTTCATTTCTTTTATACTTGAAAATAATTCTTATAATATTTAGGTTCGATAAGTTGCTTTATTAATCTTTGCTAGTGTCATGTCAAGCTTCGAAGTGCTGTGTAAGAGAATCAAACTTCTTTTCTGCCTGGCCACATTCTACCTCACATTCCTCCAGAGCTAACGAGAGACCCGCTGCCTCAGTGGCTGCTCAGTTTACGAGTAGCCGATGCCCACATAGTGCTCCATGCTGATGTTTATCTAACAAATGTGCCCATCCTGCTGTTTGCAACCTGAGCAACCTTATCGACCGCCTGATGACTCCTCCACAAAAACCCCAAGCTCAACAACGTGCAGCAGCAGCAGCGCCGCGATGCAACATGCATGCAAAAAATGGGCAACGTCATGTGGTAATTTGTCACGTGAGAGGCAGCTGCTGCAGCAGGAAAGGCAACACCCCCGCCTGACCCCGCATCTCTAGTGTGTGTTTGTGTTGGCTTTTCCCTTGACTCTTGTCAATAACTCAGCGCTTAATTGCTCATCTTTCAACGTCGCAGGGCGCAGGTACTTTGACTCTGGCCCAGCGGCAGCCTTTGACGCTCGACTCTGGCCAACAAATTAGAAAATTCTCAACTGCAGCAGGCAAAAAACTAAACTAAAAGCAAAAAAAAATACTTGACAAATGCCGCCTGTCATAGTATTAACTTGCTGTGCTTCATATGCACAGCAGCAAACGCGTCCAGCGGCGATTCAGCGATCCAGCGATCGGGCAAAGCGATCCCGGCTGGCTGCCTGCCACACAATGTAGGTTAGATGCATAGTGACACTCGCTCTGGAGCGCGTGGCAATGCCTTCTGGTCAGCCGTTGCACCTGGCGGCGCTTTGAGCGCTCTGCGGCTTGAGCTTGCCACGTCTTGTGGCAAGTTCGCTGCGCGGTTTGTTTGTTTTTGTTTTTTGTTTCTGCTGCATTTTTCGTTGTGCCGCGCGAATATTTCATAAATTGAAATGTACAGTTAGTTAATTATACGCTCAATTGGCTCTAAAAGTGGCATTAGCCAGCCGGCCAGAACCAGCCTAGCAATTTCAGCTCTACGACTGCATTTTTAATGGTTGTCATAAAAGATTTATCGCCCAATAGTCGCAGCCAACTTTAGCGGATAGAGGCGTTAGCAGCATATATATAACCACATACACACAGACATATAATGCCAGGCACTCATTGCCATTCACAGTTGGCCTGTCGATAAGAGTGTGATATAATAGCTTGCGAAACCAGCTTACAGAGCGCAAAGTGTGGGAAAGGGTCACAGTCAGCCGAGAAAAACAAAATTACATTCACAAATTGAAGAACCATTATTGTAATACAAAGTAAACTGGAACTCAGCACAAAAATATTGAATACAATCGAGAAACTATTGATGCTGATCCAGAATATGCATACGCTAGAGATATCTCCCCTCATAACAAAATTATAATTGCCTCTTCCAGGACATTAAAACAAAAGACACATTTAAAACTAAGAATATTCTACGGCTATATAATTGAAATCGATTTTAAAATAATATTTTCATAAATTCGACAATTTTTTAATTTAAATATTTCTTGATTTTTACATCCCCTTTATTTAAGCAGTGCCATTCGAACCGCTTGTTAGCCGGCATAATTCGATGTTTAACTCGTTTCTGTTTGACAATTTCCTAGAAATCTTAATTAACTTTACCAGCTCTCTATCAACCTAAACAATCTCAAATTTCATTGCTCTAACACCCCTCTGGCATTTCTGAGTCTAGCTAACTGGACACAGGTCATCAATCAAATGTGTTTTCATTTTAAATGTCAACACACAAACACAGCCACACACACCTCGATCTAAATGTGTGTGACTAAACAAATTGCAGACCCGCGTGCTGAAAATTTAAACATCAAACTGTGTTTTTGGCTGACTTCCTGATTAACTCGAAAATAGAAGAAGAAGAAGTAGAACCAGAACAACTGAAAAATGCCCGCAACGAAAATACCAACAAACCAAATTGATTAATTGATGAAGCGCAGCGCAGTTTTCATGGAAAAAAATACAAAACAACAAAAAAAAAACAGACAAATTTCCAAAGTAGAGCACATCAATGAAGCTGGAACGAGAGGCAGAGAGACTGACATATAGAATGTGTCTCGCATGTAGATGTATATATATATATATGGTAGGCCACATGGCTCGGCACAATTTGCATAAATCGAAACACAAAAAGCGAGTTGACTCGCTCTGCAAATCGGGAGCAAAAGATATTTATCTTGCCTCTGCCGCGTCGAGTGTCTGAATGAGTGTCAAATTAAATTGATCAATTAAGCAATTGACGTGACGGCAGCTCGCTCTCTATCTCCCTCCCCCCCCTTCTCCCCCGGCCTGTCTCTTGAACTGAACAAAATCCAAGTGAAAAATGCAGCAAATGCACAAGGGAAGGCGAGCAGGGAAAGACTTAATGCAACTTTTACACACACACACACACACAACAAGTGACGCAAATTGTAGAACGTGTTGAAAGGCGGCCTGGGCTAGGGGTGCAAGTGGGGCTGCATGTGGGCGTGGGCCTGAGCCCTGGGGCCTTGCTGTGACTCTAGACCTGCCAATGACAATTTCTGTCAATTCAGCGGCGCTAATCAAGCGAGCGACTGTTGAGCATTTAAATAGGGTGTAGCTGGTAGCTGTTGGAGCGAGCTGGTAGCTACAACTAGACAAATTGGCTCCGATTGCAGTGCGTGGTTACTGCTGCTGCTGCTGCTGCTGCTGCTACTGCTGCTGGCGGCTTAAAGCCCAACATGCGGGCTGTTTGCCTAGTCAGACAGCAGCGTCATATTAATCCATCAAGCAAGCAGACAGTTGCAGCTACAACAACAGCAACAACAAGAACTTCAGCCAAGGAGACGACTCGAATTTCCCTCAGCTGTAATCAAATCAAATGACAACGCAGACAGCAAGGAAACTGCAGCGACTTTGCTGAAGCCCAAACGGCAAGGCAACTATCTAAGCAGACCAGAAAGAGAGAAAGAGAGGGAGAGTGGGGGAGTTGAAGTGGGGGAGAGAGTGGGAAAGCGACATGCAACTCTCGCAGGTATATGACTCTGACTGTGCGCGTTTCCTGTGGC